ATATATATATATATATATATATATATATATATATATGGGAAAAACTCTTCCCCAACACCTATAGGCGAAAATGAACCGTGATTACGCTTGCCCTCATCACCATTCAAACTTCATCGCACGGTCATAATTGTCCGTTAGTGTTTCAATTTTTATTTGTTTTCTATAAATCCAAATTACTTGAAATTTGGAGTGTGTGTACGTCTTAGTGAGGCGCACCTAATAAAAATATTTAAAAAAATATAAATTGACCAAATCCCCCCTTAAATTTTTAGGGGTATTTTGGTTAATTTATATTTACAAATTATTTTTTTATATTTTTATTAGATTATTCTATTTTTTATAAACACACGTTGTACATTTCAGATCATTCTGATTTATAAAAAAAAATGAAAATTAAAACACTATCGGACAACCCTACTCATTTTTTTTTATATATTTTTAATAGATTCTCCTATTAATTTTTTTTTTTTTGGGTAATTCAATTGGGATGACGAGCCCCTACTCGGTTTTTGAATCGTTAATGGTTTTTTTGAAGGTGTTAAGTGAGAATTGAAGTCTAGACCTTAATTGGAGTACAAATTGTGCTATCAGTACGACCCCAAACCCCAACCCCATTCTCAAAATCGTGTTATCAGTACGACCCCAACCCCATTCTCAAAATCTTATATTTTCAGCAACAAAAAGTGAAGACCAACAATGAGAATATGTCCAACTTACAAGGGTAACATCATAATTTTATCAATGTACCTCAAGTAAATAGGAGTTTCTCTATTTTCCCTAAACACTAATAATTCTAGTGCTTGTTCTCAATTTTTAATTTTGTAAAGTATTATTTTTGCAGGAAAAATATACACAAAGATCATTATTTTTATTTTTTCGTACAAAAATATCACAATCACTCTTATCCTCTGCATTTCAAATATGGTATAAGAGTTTTTTTTTTTTTTTTGAGTGATTTATGTACGGGTCCAAAACTGTTTTTAAAATATGAAATGCTATATTTATAGGCATAATTTACAAAAAAGGTTGGTCAACCCATTTTTTTTAAAAAAATTGCCTTTCGATTTAAGGATGGAATCCTCTGTCCTAATTTTAATTTTTTTAGTTTATTCGTCAGTAGAGCAATGCCCCAAGCTTTAGGACAATGCTTTAGTAATGAAAAAACTGAAAAAAAAAAAAACAGTCTGAAGATGTCTTCAAACTGAGAAGCAATTTTGAAAAATCATAAAAAATGTAGGTTGATTGACTTTTTTAATTTCCACCTATAGATGAAACATTTTATATTTTAGGAAAAGGTTATAAGATTCGTACATAAATCGCTCCTTTTTGTTTTTTGGAAGTTTAATAGGAATTCATAAAGAAAATTAAAATGAGTATAGAAGAATTTGAGTACGAAGAGTTTGTCTTCTCTTCAACATAAATGAACACGAGGGGAGTTTGCCCTAGAAAATTAGGTCATTTTTGTGTGGCTTGGCTTTGTGATTTTTGTTGAAAAGTTTTAAATTTTGAGACTACGTCATTGTAGTGAGAAGGATCCATGGCGCTGGATAACTCTGATCTCTCACTATCACTGACCATTTATCTGTGCGCATTTCATTACAAGTAAGTGATCTGCACAAGTCTCCATTACTCGTGGTCCGGGTAAAGACCATACGGAGGCTTGAAACCTTCCATGAAAGAGATGTCAAAGGACTCCATTTCCTTTAATGTGTGTTCTGCGATGTTCGCAGGGGACTTTCACTGGAGGAGGCTATTCCAGTCACCAGTCTGGCAAGATCCACGGCCGCTAGCTTCATAATTGTAATTAGTGCGGCCGTCATCTGGGCTCCGGTCAGCACGTTAATTTGCTGTGACTGGCGAGCCTGAAGCCCAGGGAACCCAAGGCCACCCACCCACGGGCTTGCAGCTGCCCACACTGTGAACAATCACTGGTTTGGTTTTGGATATCAAAACTGGCCCCTACAATGGCAGTGTTTGCAAGTTCACCTGGTTCAACTCGGAACCGGCTGGTCAAATTGGAACTGGCCGATCCGATTTTGGCCGGTTTTGGTGGTCCAGGTACTTTGAAACAAAATTAAAACAAATAAAAAATCCCCAAAAATAGAGATTTATTTGTAATGTGTTTTTTAATGTTTTTATCATTTTGGCAAAGTTTGAAAGTGTTTTCGTGATAAAGATTTATTTTTACATTTTTTTCCATTTTTGTTAAAAATTTCAAAAATACCTTTAGACACAAATGGATTTTTTGGAATCTATCTTTTTCAATACTTTTCAAATTCATTTGGAGGTGTTTTATTTAACTATAGTTTAAATATATTTTTTATTTTTTATAGTATTTTTTATTTTTTCAATACTTTCTAGATCTATGGGACCTGCTCGATTAGGTCGGTTGAACCAGTTGGCTCGATTTTTCGAACGTTGGTGGGAATACAAGTTGACCTGCTCGATGGGGTCGGTTGAACCAGTTGGCTCGATTTTTCGAACGTTGGTGGGAACACAAGTTGAATAGGAAGATTAGGAAGGAGAGGGATGAGTTTTCATTGTTTGATTTACAAGGATAAAGTTAGGACAAGGGTTTTCTAAGGACGTTTGGTATATTGGTGTATGGAACTATTTATAGTTTGGTTGGTGCCTGGTGCCTGGTGCCCTTTACTTGACCATGGGTAGAGGGTAGACTCAAGATGATAACTTGGGCATTGGAAATAGAAGGGAACACTCGAGTGGTAACAAACACTTGGTTAGATTGATAGAAATTTTTTTTTTTTGTCTACAGCAATAATGATAGTGACCAATAAATAATATGTCCATCCTACATGGGTAACATTTTAACTCTATCGATGCCCAAGTTAATAGATTTACGGCGGGTTTGATGATAAAAAAATAAAAGTATAAAGGGAACTTTACGGTACCGTTCATGTTCCTTTCTTGGGTGTAAAAAAAGTTTCGATCAAAAAGTCTCAACTTAAAATTGAAACTTCGTTTTAGAACTTTGCCCCCGAACCCTAGTTCTTCTTTTTCTCTTTTCTTCATTCCCATCTTCCCATCTCATCGTAGCACCACCTCTCTCTTTTAGTATTCGTGTTCAGCCGTTGAGCCACCTCTCTCTTCGTTCCATGCCTCTATCTCAAGCAGACCCATCTCTTTACACGAGGTCTCGCTAGGGTTTACTCAGTTGTTCTTAAGTTATGACCATTGTTATTGATCTTGAGATCAGCTATTGATTCTTATTCTCTCTGTGTTTGTTGTTGAGCTTTTGAAGCAAATAGCTATTATCGTCTTTATGTTATTGATCTTTGTGTTTGTTTTTGAGTTTTTGAAGCAAAGAGCTCTTATTCTCTCTTTGTTATTGATATCGAGGTATGCTACTTACTCGGGACTTTTTTCATCTTTCTCTCTGTCTCTTCTTTGAGCTCTAAAAGAGAGCACCAACCATTAGGCGTGAGCACTAAGCATGCTTATTTGTAAAGTCCAAAAATTACTACCATACGCAGTGTGTGCATAATATAATACCGAATTTCATGCTATACACAACCGGAGCGTGACATATTTCCACCGCCTAAAACAGATAATTATCCTTACTAAAGGCACTATTTCCAAACTAGTCCGCAGAAAAACGGGTTCAAATCTCAAATATTACTGAGAGCAAGGCATTAATGTCATTTTTACAAACAAAACCACCATACACAGAGACGCGGGCAAAAAAGGAGTTTCGAGAGATTCAAACGCCTGTTGTAAAGAAAGAAAAAACCTACGCGTTCCCTCTGATAAAATCGTTTTTATTTCAGGTATTTATTATATCTATTAAGGTTTTGTTCTATGCTTTTAAGCTATTTTGACAATTTGGCAGAGACTTATGGATGAATTTGTGCTTTTATTATATTTTTTTCGCAGGTTTTTGAAGGTTTTTATGGTTCTTTAGGCCAGACATGAGTGCTCTGGGGATAAACACTGGTTCGAGCTCAAATCCAAGTAACCCAAATAAATCAGTGGAGGTATTTTTTAAGTTTCATGTTATTTCTTTTGGTTCATTGTTCGAAAGCGAGATTTTTATACTTGTTCTTATCCATTAAGGTGTTCTCTTTTCCTCGATACGATATGAAAATTAGATGCAGGTAAATAAACTCTCGATTCATTTTTTACAATTATTAAATTGGCTGTAAATTGAGAAAACTAGGAAGCAATGGATGTATTTATTTAGGTTTTGTCTATTTAAAATCAAAATAAAGGAAATGAATGGACAGTGATATGATAATATTGTTATCTGTTGTGTATTCTTGTCGTTTTAGTTCATCTGTTGTTGTGTCTATTGTCCTATACTATTTCAAACCGTTGCCAAAATTTCAAAGAGTCTATTAATGACTTTTTTTTTTCATCGGTAACATTTTAACGTTTGTTTTTTTGTGAAGAAATGTTGACTTTTGTATATATATTGAGAGTATAATTTCAATAGAAGGCATCCCACAGGCTGGGTGCTCTGAGTACACAAGTATGGGGGTGAGAAACTAGACGGAGAGAGAGAAACAGTTTAGGGGATGAGAAGCAGAGAAAGGAAAAATCCAGGGTGAGTGCATAAAAATAAAACACTGCAAATTCATGGTGGTTTCGGTTGTTAGGCTGCCTGAGATAGTGGTTGCTTGGTTTGACGTACTGGTGATCGGTGTGAACTATGTGAGGGTGATGTATTGTGGCAGTCCGTTCGAAGAAAACCTGCAAAAGATGAGAGAGCTAGACGAAGGATGTTGGGAGGTGGGGGGTGGGATAAGACGAAGGGGGGAAGAGGAGGATATGGGAGCTTGAAAAGGGCTGAGTACTAGAGGGAGAAAAGAGACAAGCTCAAGTAAAGTAGATACGGGGAGAGAGGATGTATATGAGAAGGAAAGAGGGTTGAGGGAAGGGGACCATGGGGAAGAAGTAGGGGTCGGAGAGGAGAAGGATAGGGGGGGATAAAGTTAGAGAGGTGAAGATGAGCAAAGCTCGATGGGAATGTGTATATGACAGCAGTGTATGAGCTCTGCACAAATTTTCTTTAGTTCGTGATACATCAATATCTTTTTTTTTTCTCCTTATGATATCCCCCCAAACACTTTTTTTTTCTTCCTTTTTTTTGGTTGTGTGTGTGTGTGTGGGGGGGAGGGGGGGAGATGTGAGGAGGAGTAAAAGAATGGGATTTAAAGATTTAAGGGATGCACCTGTGACAAGGTCTCCTTGCTTGGCCATCTTATCTGCTTCAGCATTGGCTTCTCTTGGGATGTGCTTGAACGTGGTCCCATGGATGAAGCTGCATAGGAAATCAATGTGCGCAAAAATGCAATATAGGTGCCAAGGTGGTTGACTTTGGTGGGACGCCCATAAAATGGAGTTAATGGATTCTTTATCAATGATGAGTGCTTGATAGTTCAGGCCTGCATGCGATACTCCTTTGAGACTTCAAGGATAGCTAAGGCCTTGGCCGTGGTTGAATCAACAACACGTATGTGCTCTGAGAAGGAGAGGAAGATTCTGTTGGAGCATGCCAAGGTGCCTCCAATGCCTGCAGGCGTAGTGTTCCAAAAGGAAGAGCCGTCCGTATTCAGTTTAAGGAATCCCAGTGGGGGAGTCCACTGGGCTGAGGTTTTGTTAGGTGGGGACGATAGTTTCAAAAGAGCATGCCAATTGGTTAGGTATTGGGAAATTGGTTGGGTGGCAAAGACAGGGAGGACCTTGGCCTAAAGGGAAATTAATGCTGTAATTGATTAGAAGATAGAACAATGACTTCCAGAAATGCCTCAGAATGTCTTAGAGTTCCGCTCAAGCCAAATACTCCGAGGAGGCAACAACAGACAATTGCCAAAGTTTTTTTCCTTGTTTGCAAAAGGAGGGGAGAGGAATGTGCTGAAGAGGTTTTGAAGTGAAGGAGTAACCCACTGGAGGCCGAAAAGCCTGAGGAGAGAGAACCAGCGACCTAGGGCAACCTTACAGGGAAAAAAAACGTGAGACATGGATTCCTCATCTTGAAGACACATGATGCAACGGTTCGGCAAGGAGAGGCCTCTACACTGAAGTTGGTCGAGAGTTAGGGTTCTACCTTGAAGGAGGACCCAAACAAAGGCTTGAATTTTATGGGTCACAGGAGAAGACCAAGATTTGTTGAGGAGGGGTGCTGCAGTGAGAGTTGAAAGTAATAAGGAGTAGTAGGAGGACACCGAAAAGGTGCCATAGGGGTTGGGGCTCCAGATGATAGAATCTTGTCGTTGGAGGGAGCTGAAAATAGGGACAAGCGTCAAGAGAAGGGAATTCAGAGATAGGGATTCCTGGTCGGTGAGGTTTCTCCTGAAAATGGGGGTCCAAACCAGATATGACCCTCTAAACTCTACGTAGTTTGCTATCATAGACGACTGGTTTGTGGCCAAAAGGACTAAAGAAGGGAAAACCTGTCTTGAGGGGTTGATTTCCTAGCCTAATGTTGAGCCAAAACTTGATGTTCTGGGCGTTCCCTAGCCTAAATCTTATATTGTTAAGGAAGGCACGTTCGCTAGAGGTAATGCATTTCCATGCACCCGAGGATCTGTGCGATGGAGATTTTGGAAGCCACCATCATCCCCAAGGCCATACTTGGCCTGAATAACTTATTTCCACAGGAAGGGGTTGGGGAAGTGAAGTTTCACCACCATTTTCCAAGCAAGGCAACGTTTGTTTCTCACAATAAGTATGACATTTTCACCTTTATATATATATTTTTGAAGCTGTTAACTGTGCTATATTAAGTAAGAGAACACCTTTATATTTTTTATTTCCTGATCTTGTCTGTTACATTACTGTTCTTTCATTTTCCCTTGTGCTATGAGAAATTTGATTTATTTTTTTAAATTTTCTTGTTTACAATTTATACATAGATTCTTGATAGCTTCTTCAGCAAGATTGATGGATGTAAATTAATAAACAATTCTCTTTTCGATTGTTTATTGATTGTGTTTCACTTGTCCTCATTCTTTGACACATTGATTAAAATTTCAAGTTGCTTTTTTTTTACATGTTAAACGGTGGGGATGGAGGGTTGGACGTTTTGTTGAGGCATCATCCTTCCTAGCCACCAATACCCCAACCCCATTCCCCACTCAAGGAGGATAAACAGAAGGTCTATTCTTTGATTTTTGAATAGAAAAGATTGATAACCATATACGTTCATTTACCCATCTCAAATAGGTGGTGCAGGCCCCCACTGATGGGGTTTCTAGCCTCAGTTTCAGTCCAAAAGGCAATTATCTTGTGGCCACTTCTTGGGATAATCAGGTTTGTGGTTATCCTGTTAATTTTTGGACTCCTCTCTTAATGGGATTTCCCTTTAACCTTTACTCACAATTTCATCTTGCAGTCTCTCTTTGTCAACAATAGGTTAGGTGCTGGGAGATACTCCAAACCGGAGGCAGTGTACCGAAGGCTTCAATAACTCATGATCAGCCGGTGTGTTTGGGTATTATTTTCCAAATTATACTGATCATGGATTTTTTGTTTTGGAACTTCATGTTCACTTGAATAGAATTTATCAGCTGGTTTGTTTGGTGTGATTTTCAATATTATGGAGAAAATTGTATTTTGTTTCGAGATTTTGGTGGCTAGTGTTTACGATGGATGAAGATTATTCTTGTTACATTTTGTGCTCAACCTGGAAAGACGTTGGAACAACAGTATTTTCAGCTGGTTGTGACAAGCAAGTTAAAATGTGGCCTTTGAAGTCTGGTGGGCAACCAACAACAGTGGCCATGCACGACGCGCCAATTAAGCAAGTGGAATGGATTCCTGAGATGAGTTTACTTGTAACTGGGAGCTTGGACAAGACTGTGAAGTATGTCTACAAATTTGTGTTTTCATTGCCAAAAAATTATCTATTCTATGACTGCCTGGATGGGATGATTGTGCACCTTTGACTTTCACTAGGACTTAAGAGGAATTGCTTGGTTTATGTTATCTTTTTAGTTGGTCGGGCTCTGATTGCTATATTTGGCAGTTCACTTTAGATGGCCGTGCACAAGATGTTTTCAGTCTTTTTAGTGGTAATTGACTTAAATCATCAACCCTTTCGATGTATTTTGTTTATTTCAGAAACCAGGAACACTCTGTTGTTTGATGCTGTAAATTTTGTTTATTTTAACTTGTTCTCTATTTTGAGTAAGACTTTAATATAATCATGTAGATTGGGAGCTATGTTAGTTTAAATAGACTGGCATTTGATTTATGTTTTTTGAGATTCTTATAAATAATATTTCTGAATTATTGTATTTTAAATGACCAAATAAAAGTAGTCTGGCCAGTGAAATTTTTCTTGAATATTAAAAGAAAGTAAAAAAACACTACCAATCGGCCTTCGCCTAGCCCATATATTTAGATACTATTGAAGGCAAACTAGTTGATTTGCATGGCTCCATAATTTTGTGGATTCATGAAGTCACCGAGGAAATAAATACAAAAAAAATCAGTGACAACTCTGTGATACTTTTGACTCGTGAATTATGATGTAAAGAACTTCTCTTTCTATCATAAATCTTCATGCATACGAATCTGCATCGACTTGTTTTTATGCATATACCCACACAAACAAGCGTGTCTATCAACTACTGCCGTGTGTTTGAACTTGTACATTGTGCTATCTCTGTCAAAATGTTTCTACATGTTTGTGTCTCTTTATATGAGGGGGGTTTGCCAACATACTTTTCAATTGGTGTTGGTGAATTTTTTTAACGCATTCTGAAGTTTTTGGAATTATAATTTCCATTTACTTGAGAAAATTGCTATCAGGCGGCTGGTTTTTGTCACTTGTCAGTGCAATAACAGATTCCCTCTTTCAGTGGGTTTGCTTTGATTGGGAATGATGCATATTCATTGGACTTACATTAAAACATTCCAGCTCAATGGGTTAATTTGAAATTTGTCCTTGGAAAATGATGAATACTGTTGATACCAAAAGTGATTTGCTCTAGAGTGTGGGGATATTTTGGATATTTTAAGTCAAAATATAGGTCAAATAAAATCACAATCATTTTGAACGATCGTACTCATTGATCGTATGGCTTTGGTTATGTTATGCTTTGTTTATTGTTTTCAATGAATTGTGCCCAAGAATCTGATGTCTTGCAGAGAATTCATTTTTTGCTGGCTTTGTGAATTTATATTGAAGTACATGAAGAAAATTCGGTCAACAAGTTCATGACTTAGAAAGTTGATTCTCTTGAAATCTGAGACTACTACTCATTGACTGCGTGAGTCCAACTTCCATGTTTTGCTCGGCGACCTAGGCAGCTGGAATGCGGCCAAACATCTAGGCGGCCAAGGCGCTGTCTTAAGGCGGGTGCCGAAGCGGCACCGCGATGTAGGCAGGCAGAAAAGGGCTTGGGGACGCAGGCAGTGCCTCGATGGAGAGAGGCGAGACCTCGATGTAGGCAGCGTCTCGGCCTTGGTATTTTGGGGATTCTCAACCCAAAAGGGGAAAAAAGGATTTTGGGGAGCATTCTAGTCCCCCAAAACCCGTTTTGTGTATTTTCGAGAGAGAAACTCTCTAAATACTTAGATTTTGAGATTTTTCCCAAGATTGAAAAAATTTCAACGTCTTTGATTTCTTGCGAAATCAAAAGATATACTTCCTTATATTTTTTGGAGACTGGATTGGTTGTATTAGAGAACTTTTCACGACAAAGATCATCGGTTTGGGCCGATCTCGGTTTCATTTTGAAAAGGTTACTGCATTATAATAGTTGAATTAGGGTTTGGCATGTTTTTTTTGTATAATATCTTATGCTTTGATATTCTTTTATTTTTTTCTCTTTTGTGATATATTCATATATTTGCAGTTGAAAACTTGAAATATTTTGTGAATATTTCTGGTTTGGGCCCATATCAATTTTTTTTTAAAAGCTTGGTGCATTCCAATATTTGAATTAGGGTTTGATTATTTTATTGTGTAATGTGTTATGATTTGATATTCTTTTATTTTTTTCATTTTTTATATTTTTACCTGTTTGTAGTTGGAATATTTGATGATGTTTGTGTCTCTGTGATAAATTAAGTTTTTTTTTAGGGGTTTTGGGGCCCTAATATTGCCCTAAGAACTCCTTAGGGGCCCTAAACCCCTGCCCTAAGAACTCCTTGGGCGCCTAACCTGTCTAGGTGGGCGCATCCAAGTTTTTGAACATTTGAATTCTGAAATCCCTTGTGTTCACATGACTTTCTCTAGTTCACGAGTTACCTGCCTAATATTTCAGACGAGTATGTCATCTTTGCATTTGAGAAGACTTATCCTGCAGTCGCCTTAATTGCTTTATCTTGGACAGTCTTTAAATGTGATTTCGTTATAACGAAAATCCTTGTTTGAGTTCATCCTATACTGTACGAGCAGCACAGTTTGGAATTCTCATGCTCATAGATTGCAAACTTCTAAAACTTATGCATCATTATTTTATGTGCCTTTTGTATGCTGAAAAGTGAACAATCTTGGACTCATTTCAATAGTTGCACACATTAGCATCATGGAGCTTTTTTAAACTCATGAGCTTGCAGCCAATGGCTACATGCCTGTGATGAATAGTGGTTGTCATTGCATTTCTATTAATACCAGGCTAAATGGCTTAACTTAAAGTTTGTTAATTGGTTACTTCTATTTTGTAACTTGTTGTATTCATGAAACCCTTCAAAATAAATTCTTTCCTTCCTTTTCTTACATGATTTGGTAGAAGAATGGCAATCTTTTTCTTGATCTCATTATCTGCAACTGTTTAATATGTTAATTCGGTGGGCCTTTTCTTTACTGGGTTCGCTATATCCTTGTTGTAGACATCAGTACCTTGTTTTCTCTGATTGTGGTGAAATATTAACTTCTATTTATTTATTTCAGGTATTGGGATACTAGGCAGCCAAACCCTGTGCACACTCAACAGCTGCCTGAGCGCTGTTATTCCATGAGTGTGCGACATCCTCTGATGGTCGTGGGAACTGCTGATCGTAATCTGATCGTTTACAATTTGCAAAATCCTCATGTAGTCATCTCTGACCTTACCAATGTTTGTGATGATTAGTATGCAACTGATGCTAATGATGATCCCTAAGTTAGTAATTGCATTCCATGTGTATTAATTACTCCTTTTTTTCCCCTGAATTTGAATTTGAGCAAAATTATAAAATTATAAAGACATTTCTTATCCATTGCCTCCACAAATTTTCTCTCTAAATTATATAGATGCAATTTTTAGCATTGGAACACCTAGTATAGGTGTTGATCCTTCTCTCACTACCTCGGAGTTGTGACCTTACAGGGATCAGATAATGATATCCTGCAAATTGGGAAATAGTTACTTTGTTAAGGGCAAATTAGGAAATACACAAAGTTGTTGCATTGAAAAGCTAAAATACTAAGAAAACAAGAAAATTAGGATCTACACTCTTAGGGCTGGCCTGAATTTTAATCAGTCATGGAAATTGTTGATTGCTTCAGCCACTTTGTGGATCACTTATGTACCCAGCTCATGCTTTGGAGTCAGTTCTCTTTCTTATGTTGTTTATCTTCATTTGCATGTGCATAGTTGAACAAAGGACAATTCATGAAGTGGATGTTACTGCATAGCTTTCTTTTATGTATCGGTCCGTAGTCAGAGAAGGCAGCAGGAGCTTTAGTTGACCTTCCCCATTGTGCTATAAGTTGTGTCCTTAGTGTGTTTCCGCTATGATGCCATATGGTGTTACATTACAGTGTGCTTCAAAAATGTTCATCCCTTAAGCAGAATTTTTTGATCCCTGTAATGTAATGGACAGTTCTCTCTTCAGATTTAAAATCTCATTTATTTCCATGGTCTTTGGAGCTTGGAGAAGCATTTAAGAGATATAGAGTTTGGAAAGAAGTGCTTAGAGATGGTATCTTCTTAGTTTGGTTCATGTTGGGAGCATGTCCCAGGGATTGCTTCAGAATGGTGTAATATTCTTGTTTTAGGTTGATGTGCGGGACAAAGAAGTACTGGAGGTAGGTGGGTTTTTCTTTTGTTTAGGGGTCTATAACTAAAAGTTGGTGTTGGTAAGAGGCACTGGAGGTGGACTAGTATAGAATGGTTCTCTTAAATGCGTTTTATGTGTTAGAGGCCCCGATGGGGCGCCACTTTGGGTGGCTGATTTCTGCTTGATAAAATCTTCTTTGGAGACAATCTTCAGCACGACCACGTCTTGATCAGAATTTTTGCCTCTTGTGTTTGGCAATTGAGGAGGCAGAGTTTTAGGCCAACAATGCTACAATGGTTTTTAATGAGCTTGAGGAAGATATGGTGCTTCTTTGATCTCTTTATTTTCTGTTGGATGCTGCTGGGTGTAGTGACACCTCTCATTTGATGCCAACTTTTGGTCCATTTATGATAGAGGCTAGGTCACGCAGCTCACTGACCATTAAGTTATAATCGTTATGAAAAGTGGGCAATAAATATTTTAAAGGCACCCCACTTGTAGTTCATACTGATTAGAGAAAGAACTGGCAAATGTATATTTAATGAGCTCTAAAGCTTGGGTTCTGTGTAGTGTCTTTTTTGTCAAGTGGGAGGTTTTGAGTTTGAATCTAAATGAAAGCAATTTCAATCTGTCTAGCCAAAAAACGGGTTGGTGGAGCACCTGATTTGAGAAGGGAAGGCTATATTTCTCTGTGAATCCTAGGGTACAATAGTGTAAATGGCCAATAGGAATACTACGCAATTGCTCGCCATTTCCTTGTGAACCTTTGCTTTCTGTTATATGGGTCTGTTAGAGGATTGGGCTTAAGGTATATGTGGAGACACGAACCCTCTACTTATCTAAACTACCTATGAAATGATTTTCTATTGCTCCTAGCATATTTCAACTCTATGAAACAAAATTCTGAATTTTTTCTTTTTTATGCTTATGAAACAAGTTCTGTATTTGCTTATCATACAAGGAAGTCCAGTGTATGAAATCCTTTAACAGCTGATTCTTCTTTGACGTTTTAGTGGATTATTTTAGATTATTTGAATCTTCATGCTCTTAGATGCTTTTGAGTTTTGGTCATGGAAAAAGCATTCCCAAACTTATATTGAGTTATTTCTTATCAAAGTTATTTTCATCATTGTTAGTTATATGTTGATTGAGATCCAGTTATGTTTTTCTTTTGATAATTCATTGGCTGGTTTGGCTTCTCCCACATTTACCTATGTTAGTTAAAAATTTGGCTTATTGGACATTCATTTTGTGACTTCCTATCAGAATACGCCACATCTGTTTCATATTTTTTGTGTTTCTTCTTATTAATTTGGTTTGTTTAATTTTTTTCTTTTTCCTATATGCAATAATCTGGGTGTTTGCTTAAATGTCTAAATAGACAGAGTTTAAGAGGATCACTTCACCACTAAAGTACCCAAGTAGATGTCTTGCGGCATTCCCTGACAAGCAAGGTTTTTTGGTGAGATTCTTTCATTATTTGAGTTCTATTTGGCTTCTCAATCAGCTTAGTATGAAAGTTGGGCCTTGATGGAAGCTACTGGTTGATGATAACATCGTGTTCATAAACGCAATTACTAAAGTACAATATTACATAGGAAATTTGAAATCTGATTTCAATTATGTGTTTATGCCCAAAAAATGGAACTTGGGGAATGGAATAGGCCACCTAGCCTTTTTCCCTTCCCTTAAATGGGATGAATAAACAATTTTAACCTTTACCTAAAGGCATTTTTTGCCATCTGGTGAACTTGGATTGAGGCGACCAAGGCAGCACCTAGGCGGCTGCCTCATGCAGGCTGGCTTCTTTGGCTGCATCAATGTAGGCAGCTGATGAGCTCCACCCTTCATTGTGGCAGCCGCTTAGACAACAGGTGGGGTGCCTTTTGATACACTTTTTGGAGGCATCGTGTTGGTGGGGAATTTCTGCCATTTGACATGCACACATATATGGAAGATCTTCATTTATATCCAAATCTCATTTATGACGGGGCTGTTTTTTAGAACAAAGTTGTAGTTTTCCATTGAGAGTCCACTGGAAGTTGTGGTTACCTTAGGACCAATATCCTATTCAATGTTTTGGGTAACAAGGGCATGCTTAGAAAGGATGTGATTGCTAATGCACATGAAGATCCTTACTTCTTCATGTATCATCCTTCTTGTGGGCAAGGGGAAATTGTAGTACCAGAAGAAGGGGAACCACTTCCTTTACTATTGAGTATTGATTAACACTTTTGTAATAATTCTGTAATGCATCTGTGTTAAACGAATAAGTGATTGCCCCCACCCACACCCCCCCTCCCAAAAAAAAAAAAAAAAGTGAATCATTTTTATAATCTGCCTCTTGTACAAAAGGAAAGAAGCATAGATACGAAAGGAAAGAAAGGCCAATTCACTTTTCCTGAGACGCCTACTTCCACAAAATTTTTTCTAGATCTCCACATACCTAACTTAGCATAGCTCCTAATATTCTGCACGTAAACAAATTTTGTTTATGATATGTTTTTGAATTACCTCTTTCCGATATTTGTTATGCTTAACTGCTTATTTTCCTCTTTAGGTGGGTTCAATAGAGGGCCGAGTCGGCGTGCACCATCTGGAAGATTCACAGCAGAGTTAAAACTTCACTTTCAAATGCCACAGGGAAGGCAATGAGATCTATTCAGTCAACTCTTTAAACTTCCATCCTGTATGTTTTCTTCTTGGAGTTGTAATTTCTTAGTTATCCCTACATTTTCCTCTTAGACTGTCTTTACTAATGCATATTGCTGCTCCCTTCCTTTCCCTGCTTCAGCATTGGTGCTTGTTCACATTTATTTATTTATTTATTTTTCTGCTTTCTGTTTCATAATGTCCTATTCTCTAGTTGTAGAGGCAAATACCAAGTTGCCAACTACCCATCGTAACTTTCCTTTGAATCTTCACCTCATTTTGTAGATTTGAGATACAGGGCTTCAGTTGTTTTGGGACCTCTATTGGCTACCTTGTGCATGGATGAGGTTTTGCATTTCGAATAATCTATAACCCTACATTAAAAAAATAATGCCTTTATTTTAGCATATATTTTTTTATTTTTGTGTTTTTGGAGAGGATGTTTGACTGTTGCTTATTTTGTTTTATCTACACAAGTAAATCAAATTAGGCTGCCCACATGTTAGGAGATCCTATGCAAAAAGGGCTATCAAGTTGGGAGCTTGTACTAAAATAGGTTGAAGGCCCACTGGTCCTTAAATTGACCTGCAGTTTTCCCATTTGAAGAAGTTAAATATCGGTTTTTTAGCTTCTGTAGTTCATTTGAAGTAAGTTTAATATTGATTTTTTTTAGCTTGTAGAACTACTTTTAAATGAAGGGCTGTTCATGATCCAGAAGCCTATGGTTAGTAGTGAGGTGCACAAGGGAGCTACCGAGCTAGTGAAACCTACATTATGGAGCTATTCTTAATATTGTATTTTCATTTTTCGAGCATGTGAATGAACATCTAAGGGAACTATTGTACATGTCACGAGAGAACAATCCCAACAGATATATTCCAAGTGTGTGTCAGTGAGAGCTTTTTCTGAAATGGAATTTACTTGTAACATTTACTTCCTTTGGATATTTATCTTTTGGTTGATCTGGAGAGAAGCTTTTGAAGGGGATGTTGGGGTCTAGTGGTAGAGATGTTTCTATTGTCAGTTAGGTTGCTTTGGCATAATTGCCATCAGGCACTTGGGTTCCTTGGAGGGTTTTGAATGAATGTGGTAACAGAGGTTTGTTTGGGCTTTGTGTGCATTGTATGTGATGAGAATTTTGAAATGATGGTCTCACCTTCTGTCCTTCATAATGGCTGGAGTTGCCAAGTGGACTTGTCAGCTTTTCTGTGGAGTAGGTTCTGTTATTGATATCCTAAAAGTATGGGTCATAGGGTCTTCGTGGTTATTAGGATCTACTCCCTAAGAGCCAGGGTGGCAGAATGGATTGGGTTAACACGTGTTGCTTCCTAAGGGCATGTTATGTTACCCTTTCCTTTTTGTCATAAACATGATATCGCATTGATCTTCGATTTCTCATTTTCTCCATATAACATTATGAACAACATTGCTTGAATTATGAAGAATCGTAGGTCATATATTTATATGTTGTCGAATATTGCTGTATTTAATGAATTTCTTCTATTTGCAGATACATCAAACTTTTGCCACAGCTGGATCTGATGGTGCTTTCAACTTTTGGGACAAGGATAGCAAACAAAGACTCAAGGTTGGGGGGTTACTGTTTGTTAATTTAATGGAGTTGTTTGTTTGTTTCTTCTGATTTTCGATTCATTTGTGTGTGTGTGATGTCATGCCGTGTTGTTAACATAATCAAGATTCAAGACTGGACTGGACGGCTTGGTCTAACTGATTGGACAGCCAATTGGTGCCTTGGCCGATCCGGTTTAAAGCAAATAATTGTGTGGTCAGAAACCAAGCAAAACCAATGTTTTACAGGGTTTTGACCTGTCGGACTGGCTGGTTTGACCTTTTGAATTTGGTTAAACAAAGTTGGGGATTTTTTTTTTGTAATATATTTCAAGTTTTTAAACCACCATTCCTATTTTTCTTTATTTTTGAAAATTCGGTCTTAGTGTTTGAATCGGTTTTGATTGGACAAACTCCTCACTAGTTTGATGACTGGTCTGATCCTGATAACACTGGTTCTTAATGCAATGAATTTCTAGTGTGATAAGCTTCTTTTGTATGATGATTGAGTCTTCTTTTAGCAGCAATTTATTTGTTGGCTTTTTTTCACTTTTGTTATCAATGGGAAATTGGATGAAGCGCTTTCCTGGAAACATCTCAACATGGTGGATAATAAAATTGACAAAAATACTCTAATTAACACATGATAAAGATCCAGAATCATAAGTATGTTGTGAAATTTGTGTGTTTCTTGAAATATATTTGAAAGCATTTCCTAGCAAATATCAAACTGCATTTTCAAGCCCTACTAGGTGATTCTGAAAAAACACAATACTGGATCTAAGATTGAATCCCTTGTGCCACACCAATAGATGCTGTCCGAGAATGAGCACTGGAAGACCAAAAAGGACCTTGAAAATTCCAAATATATTTCTTGGATGGATGTTTCTATATATTGAATTTTGTGTATAGTGTGTCCTGACATAGTGGCTAAAGCAAAACGTTATCAGCTGAGTCGGGAAATGAGTGAGACCCGCCGAATTGAAATAGCATGGAAAACTTTTAAGGTATAATGACATGGGGCCAGTGAAAAGGCAGGGGCAAAGCAAAAGTTCCTTTGGCACTCTGGTTTAGTTAGGAGCACTAGGCATGTCATAACTTAAAGGAGCTATAAGCCCAGAATCCAAGGATACTTGTTAGAGGGTAAGAAACCTGTTCTGTCAGCAATCTTAGTGAAGTTTTTAATTTGAGACAATATTTAACTAGCAATTTTTATGAGCTTAGTGCGTAGAAAATCGTTTCCTGTCCATTCCTATGTTCTCACTTGTTCAGCATCTCCCCATTATTTACTTCTTTCAAGTTTCCTGAGTGTTTCCCTTGATGTTGCATGTGATTTTTTGTGACACCAGGGCTCCCTGCCTTCTTCCATAGGTCGTTTTATTCTTCTAATTGTTTTCTATTTCATGAATCATACCTTTCTTCCATGTTTCCAACACCCATCCTTGGTCCTTTTTCTGGCCTTCTTCCAGGTTTTGGCAACCATGGCTGCATTTGCATGATGCACTTAAGCATTGGATCTGTGTTCCCATTCAAAGTTGATCTCTTTTTCTGTCTTTTAGGCTTGAGAAGATTGTAGAAAATCCTAAAATTGCTCCTTATTGGTGATATACATAATTGTATATAAAATCTCCTAATAAATGGGATACATGCCCTTTAACATATTCTTGAAAAACCATATATATCCATATTTGTGCATAAAATTTGTCAGGGGTTTATTTAAAAAGAAATTTTCTTATTATACTATAGTCAAATGTCACACATGAAATGCAAATTGTGTTCCCTGGAATAATGCAAAACTCCGATCAATTTTGTGATCAAATATGTGGTTTTATGGGAGTGCATTGTCTGCATTCATCTGTATCTACTCCTAGCAGATGTATACACATAGTGCTGTCAAAAAGGAGGGCTTAACATGTTTCCATAGCATGTAGAGAATGTTGCCATTTTATGTATAGTCCAAGGATACCTGATTTTAAAATCTCTCTTGATGTAACTCTCAAATTAGATTACGTAGATGCCTGCACTGCAGAAGCATTCACTTGGAATCATGTTACTTTAGGTGATGTGAAATTAACATGGGGCCTGCTTCCATCTCAGTGGTACTCTTTTCATTTGAAAGGCATGGTCATATGATTTTATGGGTCTGCTTACTGTTCTATGCTTGCTGGTGCCTCGGGAAATTGGCAGGTTGTAATATTTCAAATGATTCCAAAGTGGTATATATTTTCCCACAACATAAATTTGATGTAATGTTGCTATTTGTTGAAGTATCTGTCTGATAAACCCATAATAATTTGCTAAAACTGGGATAAAAGTTGCCAATTTCTGTTTTCTTCTATCCTCAGAATGGATTTACATTTTGCATGAGAAATTTTAATGCATAATATGCCAAATACCTGTTTAGGTTTTTGTTTCTGGCAACTGCTTGCCAGCTTGCTAAAAGTTAGTAGATTGACCTATGTTTAGATTACGTTGAACAGAAAACATGTTTTAGGATATCGAGTTACTAATACAGAAAGTTGCTATGATATTACCTTTTTTGGGTGGTTAAGCTTGGACTTGGGTCCAATACTACAGTACTGGTCATTAATACTCGGTGAAATGAACCTGACTGCTGCTTTATATGAGTGTTTTCTATTCTAGTTTTGGAGGTTCAACCATCGTATGAGCATAATCATTGTTTGTTTAGAACCGAATCTGTCAAGAAAGCCACTTGTGATGAGTGTATCTTTGTCTTTCTTTCTTTTTGTACTTCTTTTCTCTGACATTGTTATTGATTGGTACCACTTGAATTTGCTTATTGAATTTGCTGCCGAAACTGGAGTGCCGTGTTGAGCCAGTTTCTATGGATTTGTATGAAGGAATGGGTTTAAGATTTTATCAGATCTGTTTCCAGTTTGAGCTACTTATTAGTGAAATATTTGTTTGTTTTGCCAAAAAATTATTGCTTCTTAACTAATTTTGGAAAAATTTATTGCTTTACATTAAGGTAAATCTTGTTCTCTCTCCCAGGCTATGGCAAGATGCAATCAGCCGATTCCCTGCAGCACATTCAACAATGATGGTTCAATATTTGCATATGCTGTAAGTTGGATAGTTCCATTTTCTTACTACATACGAATTTTCACAGGTTTCCTTTTTTGTAATTGCAGCTTTGTAGGGATCTCATTGTCTTTTACTAGTTTATTTGTGAATATGATGGTTATGCTAATGGCACATATGGTGTGAATGTTTATTGTGTTAGTCCTCCGTCATTCTCTTCACTTGACAGGGGTCAATGGAGAGCCCTATCGTTACCTGCTTCCCTTGCAAATAAGTGATGGCTAATCCAAACCTTTGAACTGCACTTTGCATTACCCAAAAGTGACTACCCCAAATTGCCACCATAACAAAATGCTCTCTGAAACTGAATCTGGACCTTTGGACAAAGCTACTTCGGTAACTGATGATAATTTCAAGATTACCAAGAAGTCAACAACTGGAAATTGTGATCACATGCACAAACACACGAACACACATATTTAGAGACATTTTCCAATTACCCAGAATAGCGACCCTGCTGGTCTATAAATGTCACTGGGATGCCAAACTGCTAGCCCATCATAACAATCCAAGATGACTAGAAGCCCATGTTGTGACCTCTGTGATCCAAAACTACAGCCCGCTTTCCTCAAAGAAAAACCAACTGTAAACAGGCAAAAGCTCATATGCACATTTAACTTTTTTGTACATGAACGACATATCGCACGGTAAACATCCACTACTACAAAAGGAAGAGTAAATTACCCGAAATAATTACCTAAAATACTAAATGATCCGATTATAGGCGGAAATTACAAGGACGGCCGGTCAACGTGTGTTTTTTTTTTCTTCCAAAATTGCCCCTCAGTCCCAGGATTCTATCCTCGGATTAAAATTAATTTTTTTTTTTTTAGTTTTTTTGTTAGTAGGGAAGTGCCCAAAGCTTTAGGGCAGTGACCAGGCAGTCTGAGGTTAGAATCCTCAGATTATCCTGCGAACACAACAAAACCCCAGTGGAGCGCTCCTAGGACCCCATCCTTGGACCGTTGTTTTTTTCAAAAAATAAGAAATAAAGCGCGGTTTGAGGATGGAGACCTCGAACCGCCTTGGAACAGAGTTCTGCTTAGTTCTAGAGAGCGGTCCGAGGTCCCCATCCTCATATTTTCTCAAAAAATAAGAAATAAATTGTTGTTCGACGATGGGGAACTCAGACTGCTGTTTTTCTCAAAAAATAAGAAAATAAAGAGTGGTCCTAGGATGGGGACCTTGTTCTGCCAAGGAACTGAGGCATGCTCAGTCCAGAAGGTGGTCCGAGGGTTTTAACCTCGGACCTCCCAGGCATTGTCCTTAAATCTTGAGGCATTGCCCTATTGATGAAAAAACTAAAAAGAAAAAATTAAAATGTGGCCTGAGGATGGCATCTTTGGACCAAGGGGCAATTGTTTAAAACAATAAAAAAAACATGGGTCGATTGACTTTCCGTGCAATTTCCTCCTATAAGTGGATCATTTCGTATTTTAGGTAATTATTTTGGGTTCGTACGTAAATCACTCTAAAGGGAGGAGGAAGCAACGTGGAGGGCCATCTAGCCTAAACATTATGTGAGAAAAATGCATCTGAGCATAGGGTGCATCCTGAAATGTGTGGATGGCAACCAGTGACCTTCTGTAGAAAGGAGTTCAGGCAGGTATTGAGTTGGAATTTATTTATTATTTGTTGACTTGGAACTATAATGATATATCTACCAGAGGCAAAGGCGACGAGCATGTCTGTTATTAGTCCCAGGAAATATTTAACTTGTCAATTGATCCAAGTTGGAGCAGATGAGCTGCAAAATAGTCCCTATTACTTCTGTCTTAGCTATGGCTAAACATCTAGAAAGGAAATCTAAAAAGGATCTCCTTACATCAAATGGTCTCTCTTGAATATAGCTACCATTAAAACCCCATGTGTTTTGATTTGTCATGAACAACTGTATTAGAAGAAATCCAAATATCACTCATGGAAAACTGTTTAGCAAGCAATCTGAGTGACACTGTCGATGTTCATGGAAGAGGTATGGCAAAATTAATCTGCCTTTTGGAAATGTTCGGATGTAGTTTTTGTGAATGCCTGAATTACATAAATGTCTATATTCGAGTGGATGCCTGGCTTCTACCTTACTTTCGCCTCCCATGATATGCATGCTTATCTAAAGAACATTCTGGACCAGAGGTCTATGTAGATATGTTATTGGGATCTATGATAGATAAGAATGCATATCAAGGGAGGTGATTGATCCAAGTTGGAGCAGATGAGCTGCAAAATTGTCCCTAATTACTTTGTTTTAGCTATGGCTAAACATCTAGAAAGGAAATCTAAAAAGAATCTGCTAAAAAGATGATGAGAAATGTTAAGAAGTACATCAGATGGTCTCTCTTGAATACAGCTACCATTGAGCCCCGTGTTTTGATTTGTTTTGAACAACTGTATTAGAAGAAATCCAAATAAGCACTCATGGAAAACTGTTTAGTAAGCAATCTGAGTTACACTGTCGATGTTCATGGAAAAGGCATCGCAGTATTAATCTGGCTTTTGGAAATGTTCAGATGTAGTTTCTGTGAACCTTGAATTACATAAATGTCTATATTTGAGTGGATGCCTGGCTTCTACCTTACTTTTGCCTCCCATGATATACATACGTATCTAAAGAACAGACTGAAGCAGAGGTCTATGTAGATATGTTATTCGGATCTATGAGAGAGAAGTATGCATATCAAGTGAGGTGATCCTTGATAGATATGTTATTGGGATCTCTGGTTGACTGAAATGCGTACTTGTCAACCAAATTCAGTTGATCCTTTACGTGCTAAAATTACGTGGTGTGGTATTGAACTGCAACCAAAGCTTTAACATTTGTAACTATCATTGTGGAATTTTTGTTGGTCTATATCTCAACATTCTTGTCAAGAATTTTGAGCACTTTAGATGCAAACAGAGAAAGGTCTCTATTCTATCCCTAGAATGGCATGTGCACCGACTGCTCAAACATTCTTTTTTGATGAAGTTCGCTTATATTGTATTAGGGATATACGCAGATAACATGAAGGAAGTCAACATTCTTCTAATTGTATTTAAAGCTTTTAGTGTAACAGCAATACCATACAAAGGTTTTTTTCCACTTCAAGCATAGGCAAATTTTAATATAATAAAATCCTGTGGACTACAGAGAAACCGTAATTAGTTGGCTCATCACACTTCTAATTATATGGATGGAGAGCAATGTGGATGATAATGATATGGTGGATGAAGAAGAGAGTGGGACCCACTATTGGGGGGTCATGTCATGTCCTGCTAAGCCCCACTTTATCAATCTCCATTTCAATCAATCAACTTTTATACAAAGACAAATATAATATGTGTCAACATCTGATATGGATATGAGTTTAAGAAATGCTAATCCAAAATTAGCCCTTCAGACATGAGGCATCCACCGTGATCAAAAGTGACCACATATGCATTATACGGCTACATCAAAGCCGATGTTCCCTCAGATTCACCACATACACCGGTGTATGTGGAATATCAACATGTGCAAGCATGTGTGGTTCATAACCTCCAGATGTGGGCTCATCACCGAAAATTATGTGACCAGATATGCCTTTTTTATTTTTTATTTTTTGGTGTTTAGGGGCAGGGGTGTGAGTCATTGAATGAATATGAGACCTCAAAACCCCCTTAGAACTGTAGACCCCCTTAGAGGTGATAAAAGTGTAATATATACTATACTTGGTGTAATAAATATTCTTTTGTGTTATATGTAATTTGGGGGCCGTTTGGGTACCAATAGATTACAAGGTAATATGCTATTTCCACTGTTTATGGTATTTCCACTGTTTGGGTACATTTAATCATAAAGAAATGGAAAAAGATTAGGTGAGATTTATCAAAAATCAGGAAATACATTAGATTATGTGAGATTTCTCCAAAAATTAGGAAATACATTATAAGCTGTGATAGGTGAAAAATCTATTACAAGAGTGACGGTTAATTTTGGGAATTCTTAATTTAGGGAAATATTTTGCATATGTTTTTTCTTAGCCTATCACTAATTAAAAAAATCTTATCTTTTAAGCCCCCTCTTTATACTCACTAGCATAGGTGATCCCTCCATTTTTCTCTTTATACTCACTAGCATAGGTGATACCTCCCTTTTTAAGCTCGTCCCCTCATCTGAAATCGTCATCTGCCCTATAAAAACAAATTTAATAAAAATAAAAATTAGTAAACGATGATCGATTACACAACACAATCATAATAAAAAATTTTACACAACATAATCGTATTTGAAGGCATCATCTGTCATATAAAAATAAAAATAATAAAAATAAAAATAAGTAATTAGTGATAAATTACACAACACAATCGTAATAAAAAACTTCACACAACATAATCCTCATAAGAGATTACTAAAATTTCAATTGAAATAACATATGTTTTTAGTCTCCTCCAATACCTCAAAATTTTATACTGCAATTACAAAACCTTCTAGTTTACTAATCAAACTTCCTCCCATTTTTTAACTCGTACCATAGATATTTTGAATTTAGTATCATAAATATATTGTTTTTTTGAAATTATATAGAGAAACATTTGAAAGACTTATATAAAAAATAAATAAAAATAAGGCTTATCGTAATAAAATCATGTTATTCCAATCATATTATTCCAATGACTTATCATGTTGAAACCAATGTCATGTTGGAAAACATGTGATTTCATGTAAGTGCCATACGCACTTAAAATAAGTAGGAAATGGTGTCATGATGACTGTAAAATGGTACAAGTTATTATTAGAAAGTCTTTTGGAATGGTGATGATGTTATTATTAGAAATCTTTTTGGAATGGTGTGATGATGATTTTAATTCCGTATTTAGTGGAATTTTGTGACAAAAAAGAAATAAATGACAATTATGCATTTTAGTGGAATTTTGTGACAAAAAAGAAAGAAATGATAGCTTATAGGCACGTGCTGGTAAAATGTTGGTAATGCATTTCCTATATTTCTTCCAGACATAGCCAAACAATAACAATGTATTTCCCAAAGTGCATCTAATTACTACCCAAACAGTAACAATCCATTTACAGGTAATGTATTACCCCAGTAATATATTTCACAGACAATATATTTCCAGGTATCCAAATGGCCCCTTAATGAATGTGATGGATTTACTTATTGTGCATTAGACTATTAGCGAATAGACACAACAAACTTTGTTACTACTTATCAGGCTATGGGGCTATCACCAAATCAGGTGATGGTTATATTAAAAAAATGTTGATTAAAATGCCTACTATCTTATAAATCATATATTCATGTTATTCTTTATATTCTTATGTTTTTTTATAGATTTTGATTTTTTTTAATTTATTAACCTCATCAGACATGATGCGTCTGCATTGGGATCACATTGAGCTGCATAATATATTGGTACTGCCTAGCTCATGTTGTCTCCATCCTGCATTAAAAAACACTGTATATGTTTGTGCACCTTTTTAGATAAGGGAAGAGGTGGGATTCTAGGTCGCATAAACTACATGTGTGAGATTTTAATGTGCAAGGTTAACAAGTAGCAAGTTTCTAAAGTAACCGACATAGTTGTGTTTGTGGTATGTTGACATGGGGACACGTCCATATTACATAGATTGACAGTGATGGCCCAATTAACTTTGTCCATAGTCCATTGGGTTATAGGTGTTTGCTTGAAAGTTGCATTCTATCTTTAAATTTATGAAGAAAGGGACCAAAAATTAGAAAGCAATCAAATACACCATTTTTAGGCTTTTTATTTATAATTTAGGTACATGTATCCTAGAACACCGTAAATGCTCTGTCAATCATATCTGATAACAAGGAATTAAATCAGAAAACCGCTGATTCCTTGATTACACTAGTTTACAATGGACAGAGTAAAGGAAAAATAATATGGCTTCATGAAAGTCTCAGCTTTTTTCTGAATTTCAAACTTCAAAAGAGCTGGAATAGTTACAAGTGGTTAAGAGAGTGGGCATTTTCCCCCAAACACCAGTTACAACTAGTTTGATATCATTAAACACCTGTAATAAAGTGTCAAAATATGGTTTAGACCTTTGAGGGCATAACTGTATTTCATTTAAATGCTATTTGTTTTAAGAGTAATGATCCATGAGACGCTCCCACACCCATGTGTATAGGGATCCGAAAGGATCACCATTAAATTTGGCACAGATCTCTAAAAAAGTCAAGTCTCACACCCATGTGATAACTTTTCTAGAGATCTGTACCAAATTTAATGGTGATCCTCTCGGGTCCTACACACATGGGTGTGGGAGGGTCTCATAGGATCATTACTCCTGTTTTAACCTCAGTTAAGTATGAATTTTAAGCTTTTTGTTCAATTATTGTTTTTTGTTATCCTCATTCGATGCATTTTGTGTATAGATGAATGTATTTTGATATTTTTGGACTCAATTTTATCAAAACTTTGCCCGGGATTTCAAGTTTAATAAAGAATCTCAGTTGTTGCTGCCATTCAGCCTTTTCTTACTGAAGAGACTCTGATTCCAGCACAAATCTCTGGTTTACTACCAGAATTTGATCTCTGGTTTACTACCAGAATTTGAATCCTAAAATAAATTTTGACCTTTTTGATTGTAGTTGGATCTCTCTGACTTTCTACTCTGAATTTGTGTTTATCAAATCACATGAATGTTGCCCGTCATTTATTACCCAGACTATCATTTTAATCTTTTTAATCATGCTTGAACTCGTTGCAGAGCTCTTTTCTTGGATCTCATGATTGTTTAATCATGTGAAGCCATGCCCTTTGGTCACAGTAAAGATTATTTGAGTCGAGGGTGATTAAAAAACGGCTCAAATAATAGTAGACTTTTTTTTATTACTCTATTGTTGCTGTGACACCATTGTTCCAAAACATGCATGCATGTACCAAATGCAATTCTTTACATGGAGCTTCTTAATTGTAACACTGTCTCATATGTGGTCCGTACAGGTGTGTTATGACTGGAGTAAGGGAGCAGAAAATCATAACCCTGCAACAGCTAAAACCAACATTTTCCTCCATATTCCACAGGTCAGTTAATATGTGGAAATTCTCTCTCTTTTTCTTATAGTGGGGCATGTTAATGTCTTGTAGCTTGCGGTTTTTATGGAAAAACATGTTAATTAGTGTTTTTAAATGATATTTACTGTTTCAAATGCAATATACTTTTGGGTGTGTAAATATATGTGCACACATGCATGTATATGTGAAAGTTCTTTCCATCTGTTTTAATGGTTTATCTGTTTGCTTGAGAGCAGGAATCAGAGGTCAAAGGAAGGCCACGAGTCTCAAGTGGAAGGAAGTGACTTCTCTCATGACTTTGTAGTGTAGATTTTTAATTTTTTTGACTCTAATCTACCAAGATCAGTTTTCTAGGTGGTTCAAATCAGGGTCCCTTTCTTTCTAGTATAGTGATTTTCTCAAGACTTGTACTGTATTTTTTTTATTTATTTTTACTCAAATCTACCAAGATCAGTTTTTGGGTGGTTCGAATCATGGTCTCTCTTTCTAGTATGGTGATTTTCTCAGGACTTTGTACTGTAAATTTTTTATTTTTTTGACTCGAATCTACCAAGATCAGTTTTTTGGATGGTTGGAGTCATGATCTCTCTCTCTCAATGCATGCATGCAGAGTGGGGAGATATTTGTGTTGTTTCTTCATTTTTTTTTACCCCACCACTCCCACTCACAATGCATTCGTTGTTGTTGTGTAACCAGCTTGGGGAAAGTTGTCCGATGAATGATCAAACCTTGAATATCACTTTGTAAACTTTTGACATAGTTACAGTTTGGTTGAATTGAAAGGCTTTGGATATTTCGTGCATTTTTTTTATAAAAAAGTGAGGTTCCCCCTCTTAATAAAGAAAATAGGACTATTTTTTTTTAGCATAGGGAAATTTACGGAAAAAGGTTTTCTATCATTAAAAAATTAAAAATTGTAATTTATTTATATTTGCATGAAGTTTCTATAAGACCTAGGCTTTACAAGACCATATAAAGCCTAATCTCAATTCCTTGTTTGGAAAGTATTTTCGGCAACAAAAATCTTTATAATGGTTCTAAAATCAATTTTCATAAAATTTGAAAAAAATACATAGATCTTAGGAATCTTTGATCAATTTTTTTAGGGTGAATTGGATATTTTAGATAATTTGTTAAACTATACACTTTTTTTTAGCGCTTGAAATTCTATTTTTTTTTGCACATTCACAATGTTCAAGCTGTGATGATCGTTGTAAAAATTTTTAATGCTTAAATTGTAATTTTCAATGAGTTATGAGTTGAGGTTTTATTTATTTTATAAGGCTGCAGCCCTATCAAACCGTCTTCCTTTATATTTTCAGGTTGGAGTTTACTTTTTGAGAGTGTGTTGTATTCTAATTTTATTTTGTTTTCTACACGTTGGATTCAGTTGATGATGAGTCTCTATCCGTTTTTCGAAATCGTTAGTGGTTTTTTAATGCGATTGGTGAGAATGGAAGCTTAAATCTTTGCTCGGGTACAAATGATGTTACTACTAGGACTTAAGTTTGGGAACCTTAGATTGGGAGTTCATTTTTATTTATCATCACACAATTTTAAAAGATATTAAAAACTTTTTAAAACAGATAAAATGACTAAAAAGCTCTTTAATTTTTGGAATATATAAGAGTATTTTGATCATTTTATTTAAATTTTATTTTTTTATTATTATTTACATGTTTATTATGGTGTGAGATATGAATGCTTAAAATATATGCTCATTAAAATATATAGAAAAATAAAATGAAAATGAAAATATACTATATATTATAACAAAGAAGGGCTCAAGTGTAAAATATAAAATGTGATGATTATTTTTAAAATTTGAAAATAAAAAAAGAGAGTATTTTGTTAATTTCCCTTTTGCATATTTTATCATTTCCATACCAATAAAATTTTAGAATTGTATGTTACGAGATCATTTATCTTTATTACATGATACTTCTAGCAATTAGATGTCAAATGGGACGGCTATAGGTGTGACATGAAGTTCAAGAAATTCTATTCTCAACTCTGAATCTAGTTAAAGATATCTAACTACTTGATTGAAATTTATAATCCATGTAATAGATGTAAAAGAAGAAATGCAACAATAAATCCCAAATTTGGCCCGTAAATTTTTTTGGACCCTACAAAGAAGCCTATCAAAAAGAATTTAGAAAAGCCTTAAAAAATTCTTTTTCTTGAACTCATTCAGCAGAGGCCTTCTATTTCATGAGTTACTGGATTAAGGCCTTCAAGAACTCGTAATTAATTTTTTACTATCCTTAAATTTTTTTATTTCTTGAAAATGAGGCAATATATAGAATTTGAGATCAAAAGAAGTCCACATAATTCCCCAAGCTAAAAATATTCTTCTTTTTGGTGGTGAGCTTGTATTTAAAATGGTTTCTCTCCTCTTAAAGATTTGAATGTTTTTCTCTAGTATTTTTCTTAGAGGAGCACAATACACTTGTGCTCTCACGCAAAATATTTTTTTCTCGTTCTTTTGAAATATTGAGGTCCACTTTAAATGGTCATATGTTTATTTTAAATAAAATTTATATTTTTAATATAGGATTGTCTACAAAGAGGCTATTTCTCTTTTGTACATGGTGGTTACAATCATTGTAATATTACCAAAAAATTAAATGTTTTCTCTTCAATTTTGAGACACTATTTTGTTTATGCTCTTAAAGGGTCCTATTATAATTTTTATTAACACTAATTTAGGTGTTAAAGAGGTTATATCCCCAAAATTTGAGTTACTAATTAATCCTAGGAGGAGTTTTACTGGGGGGAGTAAATGGACAGTGTACACCAGAGGGAGGACAAATTTTCTTGATGTTATCGATATTTTTAAAAGATAATGTGATACTTCCTTAATTTTTAGATTATGTAATTATATATTTTTAGCCTATATCCTCATACGAAAGAGCTATCTTTAGTGAATTCTTAAATTTCTCTCAATTGCCTCAATTTTCTTTTTTGGGCCACACATGACCAAATTGGAAATTTGGTCGGCCATGCAAACCTCAAATCTTTCTCTCTCTTTTTTTTTTTTTGGAGGGGGCGGGGGAGTAGGAAATTTTTATTTAAATAGAATTTTTGAATTATCTCTAATTCACCTTGTGATCAATTTAGAGAAAAACAAAAAAAAAAACTAATTTTGAGCTCTTAAACCCGATGGAGGGTCCAAAGTCAGTATCACATATGGAACTTGTTTAAACAATTTCTAAAATCCCTATCATTTAAAAAAAAAAAAGTTCAGATGAATAAAAATGATTTCATCTTTGAGGTCAGACCATCTAACATAGTGGTTTTGCAGTGGGTTCCAGTGTGCAAATTGGTCCCCTTGGGACCACTAAATCTTTCCCCCCATGTGATTAAACAATTTCATAAAGTTCTTTTATTTTATATTACTACGGATTCTCCCACAAACTATTTTTCCAAAAAGAATGTGATTCTCAAATTGTTCTGTGATGATTAAGAACAATAGTTTGATCCGAGCTATGGATCACGAAAAAAAACTTTTCCCAGATTGACACGAAATTAATTCACTATTTTGCTTCCCATTTTTATTTGTAAATGAAATTGGCCCCTAAACACACCATTCTTATTCACAAAAAAACGAAACGAACCTATGCATTCTAACCAAAATCATGAAAAGGAGCACCTGCACTAAATCAAAGAAGAAAAAAACTGTGGTAAAATCAGGTGGACAATTTTATATAATCACAAATTGAATATACATCCAGACAGTTATGGGATTCTTTTTTTTTTGTAGTGACATTAAGTCTTCATCTCTTACCACAAATAAATAACGATGAGAAGAATAGAATTTCTGATATCTTCGCCTTGTTTAGTCTAAGCGCAAATTATGTCGGCACATTGGATATGACTGAGTGTGCTCGAGCCAGTTGTTTATGCATTCTTCATTGATGCAGACAAGGCATTTCCCTCGCATTGTCGGTGTCATTGATGAGCTCGTACATGCACACAACACATACATCTTCTTGTTTAGAGCCTAGGCTCTATATAAACTTTTTCCTTTTGTTTATTGGGACTCAAAAAAGTTTCTTAAATTGTCTCGCTAAAAGAAACTCTAAGCTTTTCAATTTTTATTTTTAAAACCAATTATAACACTTTCTTAATTATTAAAATATTTTTTGTCTATTTTTTCAATTAAAAATAAGGCTAAGGATATATGCTATCCTTACTCAAAAGGATTCTATTAACTCTGGTTTACTAAGTTCTTAAATTTCTCTCAATTACCTTAATTTTCTATCTTTGTAATATCGTACTATTTTTATTTTTTCAATTATAAATTTTATTATATATTACAAATAATTTTCATCAGTTTAAATTGTTTTTAATATGATCTTGTGCCTTGCATTGCAAAGACCGTGAATGTATTTTTTTTTTTTAACGTGTAATTCTCGGTCTACTGCATTCCCAAGGAGGATCGTCTTTCTATGGCTCGGCTTTAGGTCATATTGTGCCTACAGATTAGCCTCGGGGGATCAAATTGAACATTTGGTCTTATACCGGGGATGGACCGTTGATACATGGTCCAAGCCATTCACTCCTTTCTATTCCTTGATTAAATTGAAATTCAATTCAATTCATTATCAAACGACTGTATAATCTGTAACTGTATAATAATAACATAATATAGATAAAATAATGAATCCGCTCTTATGAATCATTAAATCCCATAGAATGATTGTTCTGATGTATCATGAAAATTTTTTGGGATGCACGAACCAC